ACATGACAACCGCGTTATTGCAACCACATCGACCAATGCACCTGCACGCGTTACCTAAGAGCAGGCTATATCTAGAATTGCTGCAAAGTGGCCAGGAGAGCTGTGGGTTATTGAATACATCTGTGCGGAGTTTTGAGAGTTTTGGGCCCAGAGAATCTCTCCGGATACCCGCCCACAGCCCACGGTAAACCAAAACTCTCGTTTCTGAGATGTGACCAGGCCAAACATCCCACTCTAGCAGGACCAACCATCTTAAAAACAAGTGCCGAGACTAAATAGCCGCCTGATCGTTACATTTATATTCAGAGCGGAGCGGTGGCGCTGTGGTTAGCGCGCGGCACCAACACACGTGAGCGGCAATACCACTCTGAATCGGTCCTGGCCTCTCCCCCCCCACCCCTCCACCATCTCAGGCCACCACTTACAAACGAGACCGTCCACGGCACCGACCCAGCGTGGTGAAGTATGGTCAGAAGCTACAACAACAACTGCGCACCACCAGCAGGCGAGGGTGTTGTGGAAGAGAGGGAGGCTACGCGCGTGGATGCAAGCGGCGCGTTTGGCAGACGAGGGGGGGGGGAGGAGGGGGGAGCTTGTCTCTGTAATGACGGGGATTGTCGTAATGCGACGCAGCGTGGAGCTTGCGATGGAGATGCCTGACACCGCTACCCGCGTGAGGAATGGATGTAGGACGCAGGGAACTGAATAGAAGTATTATTATTAGACGGGACGAGCAATTCGCCGCGTTCCGAACGGAGTGTTCCTCTCGCCGCTGCGCGGAGGCACGGAGCGAGAGCTCGCGACTTTGGCGACGATGAAGATAATGGCTCATTCGGTGTTCAGAATGATGATGGTGATTATTGTGATTATTGTGAAACTTGGTGATGATGGATTTGGTCATGGTATGGCTCTCGGTGTTAATGGAAGATGAGGTGTTGATGGTAATGATCACGATGACGGTGATGATGGCGGTGGTGAAGATGATTGGTGTGGTGTTGGTAACGATAGTGGTGGTGGTGAAGATGGTTGATTGGTGTGGTGTTGATAATGATGATGGTGGTGGTGAAGATGGTTGATTGGTGTGGTGTTGGTAATGATGGTTGGTGGTGGTGGTGTTGATTGGTGGTGGAGTTGGTGATTGGTCTAGGTACGTGTCGCTATTGACATTGAGGCGGCTGCCAATGGAAGATGATGGTGCTGGTGGTGACGGCGATGACGATGATATTCCTGAGTTGCTTTTCCAAAGCGTGAACTTACTTTAAGTTCACGAATCAAACGCCACAGGTTGGAGACGAGGTCACACGAAAACGCACTCCCACGCGCACACGTGTACACATACATACATACAAAGATCCCCAGTACCCTATAGCCTATAACAGACTATTGGGGCAAGTGCTGTAAGCGAGCGCCTATGAAGGCCGGCACGGCACACGTGGGGGGTGGATGGCCAACACCACCCCCGACCGCCTTTGTCTCCCCAGTGCTGATGCTTAACACACCGCACCGAGCGGAGGCCCAGGACCGGTTCAGATGATCGTCACCGGTGTTGGCCGTGAGCGGGAATCGAACTCGGGCCGCCGGGTTCGTAGCGCAGCGTAGCGCTAACCGCTGCACCACCAGTCACACGCACAATTGCGTACACGCGCGCACGTGTACGCGCACACGTACATGTACACATGTGTGCTTATTACACACATGCGCGCCTACACACAAACATCTCGCATGTGCAGGCAACTCTGTGTACACACACGCGACTTGTCGCCCCGCCCAGACGCTGTGCAAGTCGACACGCGCAATGGTTGCACGCAACATCGCAACTCGCCTTCAACTCACTGCCACAACTCCCCCTCAACTCCCTCCCACCCACCTCGCTTTGTTCCCCTCTCTCCGAGCGTCTGTGTTAGTGTCTATGTGTGTGTGTGACTGTGTGTGTGACTGTGTGTGTGACTGTGTGTGACTGTGTGTGTGCGTGACTGTGTGAGACTCTGTGTGTGTGTAGCTCTGTGTGTGTGTGACTGTGTGTGTGTGACTGTGTGTATGTCTCTGTGTGTGTGTGGCTGTGTGTGTGTGACTGTGTGTGTGTCTGTGTCACTCTGTGTGTGACTGACCGTGTGTGTGTCACTCTGTGTGTGACTGTGTTGTGTGTGTACTGTGTGTGTGTGTGCATCTGTGTGTGTGTGACTGCTGTGTGTGTGAGTGAACTGTGTGTGTGACTCTGTTGTGTGTGTGACTCTGTGTGTGTGTGACTCTGTGTGTGTGACTCTGTGTGTGTGTGACTCTGTGTGTGTGTGACTCTGTGTGTGTGTGACTCTGTGTGTGTGTGACTCTGTGTGTGTGTGACTCTGTGTGTGTGTGACTCTGTGTGTGTGTGACTCTGTGTGTGTGTGACTCTGTGTGTGTGTGACTCTGTGTGTGTGTGACTCTGTGTGTGTGTGACTCTGTGTGTGTGGACTCTGTGTGTGTGTGACTCTGTGTGTGTTGTGACTCTGTGTGTGTGTGACTCTGTGTGTGTGTGACTCTGTGTGTGTGTGACTCTGTGTGTGTGTGACTCTGTGTGTGTGTGACTCTGTGTGTGTGTGACTCTGTGTGTGTGTGACTCTGTGTGTGTGTGACTCTGTGTGTGTGTGACTCTGTGTGTGTGTGACTCTGTGTGTGTGTGACTCTGTGTGTGTGTGACTCTGTGTGTGTGTGACTCTGTGTGTGTGTGACTCTGTGTGTGTGTGACTCTGTGTGTGTGTGACTCTGTGTGTGTGTGACTCTGTGTGTGTGTGACTCTGTGTGTGTGTGACTCTGTGTGTGTGTGACTCTGTGTGTGTGTGACTCTGTGTGTGTGTGACTCTGTGTGTGTGTGTGACTCTGTGTGTGTGTCTGACTGTGTGTGTGACTGTGTGTGTGTGACTGTGTGTGTGACTGTGTGTGTGTGACTGTGCGTGTGACTGTGTGTGTGTGTGACTCTGTGTGTGTGTGTGACTCTGTGTGTGTGTGACTGTGTGTGTGAGTGTGTGTGTGAGACTGTGTGTGACTGTGTGTGTGACTGTGTGTGTCTGACTTTGTGTGTGTGTGACTGTGTGTGTATGTGACTGTGTGTGTGTGACTGTGTCTGTATTCGTTGTCTATGTATACGAAGCAGTCTCTCTGTGCCGCTTGCCGTAAAGACGGTCACGATTCGACTCCAGCGGGCCGCCCCGATTAATACCGCAGGTTTGTGTATATTCAGATAAAACGCGACGCGTACCACAACAACAACAAACACCCCAGTCGACGTTAAAGATCCCGTGGCATAATTGGCGAGAGTAGTTACCAGCGTCGCGGTCCGCAATTGATAACCAATTGATAACCAATTGATAACCAGCCAATAACTCAAAACCTGGCAGGACCCTCCTGCCGAAGAGTGGTGAGACTCAGCGAGGCTTGCGTGGGTAAACAAGTAGAATCACCACGTGCTTGCTCTGTTCTGTGCGTCTATGTCTCTGTCTGTGCGTGTGTATGTCTCTGTCTGTGCGCGTGTATGTCTCTGTCTGTGCGCGTGTATGTCTCTGTCTGTGCGCGTGTATGTCTCTGTCTGTGCGCGTGTATGTCTCTGTCTGTGCGCGTGTATGTCTCTGTCTGTGCGCGTGTATGTCTCTGTCTGTGCGCGTGTATGTCTCTGTGCGTGTTTTTTGTGCGTGTCTTGGAGTCTTCGCCCATGCCTCTGTGTGATGCAGCTGCCAGTTCGTCTGCGTGTCCAGCGCTCGCCAATCCACAATCAGTCCCATCAGGCTCTGTCGTTTCGTGTCTCCGTGCGTGTCTCAAGTTCCCAGCGATAGGTGCTCGCTAACAGCCTGTTAATGCTACATGGACGAATCGTTGTTGTCTACGTGTGATGTTCGCTACCTCCACTGGATTTGTATGGTTTTCCCCATCTCCCAGTACGTTTAAGTTTACGCGTCTGTCTCTATGTGCGCTTGTCTCTGTGACTTACACTCAGACAGACGTCTGTACGTCTGCCTTATCTCGAGTCTGTGCGTGTGCCTACATCTGCGTCGCTTTGTTTGTATAAAAGTGCACGCGTGTGTCGAGCGGACGCATAAACAGAACTCGACAGTCTTATAACACAGCGTCTGTCTCCCGAGTCTGTGTCTCTCCGCCCGTGTCTCTCTCCGTGTGTCTGTCTCTCTCCGCCCGTGTCTATGTCTCAAGCGTTCATCGAGATCCATGTGTGTCTGTCCATCTTGCGTGTGTCCATGTCTCTCCCCGTGTGTCTGTGTCTCTCCGCGTGCCTCCGTGTCTATCCACGTGTCTCTCTCCACATTGCGTGTCTCCGTGTTTTTCCACGTGTGTCTCTCCACCTTGCGTGTGTCCGTGTCTATCCACGTGTGTCTCTCCTCCTTGCGTGTCTCCGTGTTTTTCCACGTGTGTCTCTCCACCTTGCGTGTGTCCGTGTCTATCCACGTGTGTCTCTCCGCCTGGGTCTCTCCACCTTGCGTGTCTCCGTGTCTCTCCACCTTGCGTGTGTCCCTCCACGTGTGTGCGTGTCTCTCCACGTGTGTCAACACTTGCGCCAACAGTTCCAGTTGCTCTTTGTGCGTCTCACTCTCGTCTCCCAGCGCGTCTCCCTTGTCTGCGCGTCTCCGTGCGTAACCCGCCACGCGAGTCCCACGAACTCCTCTCTCTGTCGGTCTCTGTCGGTCTCTCTCCGTCTCTCTCTCTCTCTCGCGCGCGCGACACCGGTGGAAGTCGCGAACGGAGTCGAGGAAGAACCCCCCCCCCCCTGCTCGTGAACAATCCGAAAAATGCGAACGATTCCTACGACTTTCAGGCCTGCGCCGCCGCGGCTTCGCCTCCTCCTCCTCCCCCTGCCCCCCCTGCCCGAGTTGTGGAGTCGAGAGAGAGGAGAGAGAAGGGGGAGTGAGAGAGAGAGAGGCGCTTTAACCCTCGCTCGCTTCCCCGCCACACGCATCATCCGTTCGCCACCCGAAGCGCTCCGCTCATCATCATCATCATCGCGCGCCTCAACTCACCTGGCGGCGCGGGGTGTCGAGTCGGGGCGGCTCGAGACGGGCAGTCGGCAAAGCCCACGGAGGGGTGCGGGTTGAGAAACAAAACAAGTCAAAGAGTGCGTTTCACGGCCACCACGACGGCTGCTGACAACGGCGGTGACGATGGTGGTTGTGGTTGTTGTGGTGGTGGTTGTGGCGCGCGCCGTCTCCAACCTCTGTCACCGCGACACGCGCGCGCGCGCTTGGGCGGACGAGCGCGGAGAAGGAATTCCAGGAATGAGTCGGTGGAACGGAGGAATGAAATGAACGCGAGCGAGGAGGAGGGGTGGGGGTCGGAGGGGGTAGGGGGCGGTGCAGGAGTTTTTGAGGGGGCGGGGTAGAGGTGGGTGGGAGGGAGGGAGCGGTGGTGATGGAGGTCGGATGGAGGGAGGGATGATGATGATGGTGGTGGTGGGAGCTTGGGGGGGGGGGAGAGGGAGGAGTGGTGGGCTGGGTTGGGGCGGGGTTACGGTGAAGTTGGGGGTCGTGCGCTGCTGTTGCTCCCATCGAGGTTTGAGAACGCAGGTCCATAGGCACAGATGGCCCCCCAGACGGCCCGCAACAAACAGCACTTTTAAGAGTTGTAGTAGAACACAGTGAATGCGTTTTTTTAGTGGAGGAGGAGGAGGAGTCGTGGTGTAGTGGGGGAGGAGTCAAAAACTGAATATTTATTATCCTGGAGGATAATAAGTGGGGCAGGTAAGAACGTCACAAAAACAAACAGTACAACACACGGTAGTAGTACAAAGTGCAACAAAGGTAAACAAATCACCCAAACACGTAGACATGTGTTAATGCCCACTGAGGCATTAACTTAGTGTTCAAAAGCGACCTGGCCACAAATGATTGTTCAACAAAGTGGCCCTCATCATTTGGAAATGTATAGCAGCAAAAACATCTTGGTGGAGTGGAGAGGAGTCATGGTGGAGTGGAGGTGGAGCCATGGTGGAGTGGGGGTGGCGCCATGGTGGAGTGGGGAGGAGTCATACTGGATTAGGGGAGGAGTCATGATGGAGTGTGGGAGGAGTCATGGTGGAGTGTGGGAGGAGTCGTGGTGGAGTGGGGGTGGAGTCGTGGTGGAGTGGGGGTGGAGTCGTGGTGGAGCTGAGAGTGATCGCTTTAGCCAAGTGCGCTCATGGTGAGAGCGGAGGGACGTGATCACGTGATGCGTAGCAGCGCGCGGACGTCACCACGTAACTTCTCCCCGTGACGCCCTCCTCCTGCCCCTCGTGATGGCAATGCTCTCGGATGTGTAACGCCCACAGGCTTGGTTCACTCTCAGAGAGAGAGAGAGAGGGAAAGCGAAAATGATTCAGAGGCGCAGGAAACCACTCAAACGAGCGGGATAGACATCCAGATCCGGCGCCAACAATTGCCCAAGCTCTGCGGGCCTACACTGGCGATGCATGGCCAATTCCACCCACGAGTGGTTGACATTCATATGGGAGAAAAGCAGAGTGCCCGGAGAAACCGCGCGCTTCCTCCTCCTCCTGCGCCCCATCCTCATCATCATCCTCATCATTCTCATCATCATCATTATAATCCCCCTCTTCCTGTCGGGCGCACGCAGTGAAGACCAACACCGATGCTCGGGATAGGTTTAGGGATGTAACGTGTCATTCCTTTCGTGTATTACTACGCCTCGTAGTAGCAGCGGTATTATTATTGTTACTACTACGCGTCTTTAGCCAGGGAATTGTCGCTGAGTCTTAAGATTCGTTTTTCAGAAGGGTCCTGCCGAGTATTCACGGCAGCGGTGGGGAGGGCGATGTGGCCTTCTGTGTGATCCCCACTACGTGGGGAGCGGTCGTGTAGCGGTTAGCGCGCTACGGGGATTTCTGTTTTGTATGAGTGGGTGAGTGAGTGTGTTGGTGTGACCTTGAGTGGGTGAGTGTGTGGTGGGTGAGTGGGCGAGAGAGTGAGTGAAAGAGTGGGTGGGTGAGTGAGTGTGTTGGTGTGACCTTGGCAGTGTGGTGAGTGGGTGAGTGGGTGGTGGGTGAGTGGGCGAGAGAGTGAGTGAGTGAATGAGTGAAAGAGTGGGTGGGTGAGTGAGTGTGTTGGTGTGACCTTGGCAGTGTGGTGAGTGGGTGAGTGTGTGGTGGGTGAGTAGTTGTTGAACACAGCGTGGTGGTGGTTGAACACAGTGTGGTGGTGGTGGTTCTTGAACACAGCGTGGTGGTGGTGGTAGTGGGTGAGACGGCCCAGTGTCGAGGAGTGAGCGAGTGGAACTCACGACGACCACGGCAGGCAAGGAAGGAGCGGCACGCGAGCGACGGGGAGCCGGCCGCACAGAGAGGCGCAGAGCTAATGAGCGCTGAGACGTTTCCAACCTTAGTTGGAATTTGTTATCACAGCCGCCTTCTACCCCCCCCCACACACACTCTCCCAGCCCCCCCCCCTCAGCCCCCCCCTCATCCCCCCTCACTTCACCCACGTCACGAAGTTGGACTTAGCCACGAGAAGAATCTGAACAATGTCTGAGCTGCTGGTAGACTCCGCGCTACCCCCACCCCACCCACCCCCAGCTACCCCCACCCCACCCAGCAACCCCCCCAGCTACTCCTCCCCCCCACCCACCCCACCCCCCCCAGCTACCCGAGCTACCCCTCCCACCACCCCAGCTACCCCACCCCCCCAGCTACCCCCCTACCCAGCTACCCCCCACCCCATCCCCCCAGCTACCTCCCCCCCAGCTACCCCACCCACCCCCAGTTACCCCCCCCCCCAGCTACCCCCCCCCAAGCTACCCCCCCCCCAGCTACCACCCCCCCCCAGCTACCCCACCCCACCCCCACCCACCCCCAGCTACCCCCCCCCCAGCTACCCCCCCCAAGCTACCCCCCCACAGCTACCCCACCCACCCCACCCACCCCACCCACCCCAGCTACCCCACCGCCCCCTACACGTGCGGTCGTGAGTTTGAGACCGACCCTGACGCTTGCTGCTGCTGCCGCTGTATATTTGGAGTTTGCGGTGTCTCTCGCTCGCTCGCTCGCTCCCCGTGGTCGCGTGGATTTTTCTCCGGGTGCTCCGGCTTGTCGCTCCACATTTAGAATCCACATCATCACGCGTTTAGAGTATTTGGCCGTTGATATAAATTTCCGCACGACGAGACAACTTTTTTTGTAGCTATCCGTTTGTGATAGCCACGTCGCTTCTGAATAAGAGCTATGAAGCCCAGTGGGCCTTACCTGGTCAAAGACAAAATTATTTTATCGCTTATTTTTTTCTAATGCACAATGTCGAAAGCGGCCCGGAGTTTCGATTTAAAGCTTTCGTGACTATAGGGATTCATATTCTTGGTTCTTTCGGTAAAGTCACGTAGAAAGGAAATAATAAAACAATAAAAATTAAACAATTAAATTCTCACGTTTCGATTGCAACACAAGCAATCATCATCAGGTGTTATAACCACTTTTTTCAAATGTTCTTGCCGTGGTTTTCACACCGGATGATGATTGCTTCTGTTGCAATCGAAACTTCGTGAGAATTTTATTGTTTTATTTTTATTACTTTATTATTTCCCTTCTCCGTGACTTTAGCTAAAGAACCAAGAATACGGCCCGGAGTGGTGGTTGTTGTTGTGGCTGCCCGGGTTAGATCAAAGCTCCGCTGACTTTATACCGTAACCACCCAACCACCCATCCACCCGCCCTCCCCACTCGATAGACCCGCGGCACTGATAGGATGCGTAAAACAAAACAACACTTCGATTTGTTTTTGGAGAGGCAGACACCTTTGTTGTTACAATCCTCCAGAAGGACAACACGAATTGTAATCTTGTGTTATCATCCTTATGGTTGTTGCGGTCAAAGTTATTTCCGGCTCAGTTCAACATCGAGGCATTTGGTGCTCAATTTCTACTTTACAGCCCTGCATACGCGGAAATTCCACATTCCTATGGCGGGGACGAGTCGGCTCCAACGGACAAGTCTTGTTGACTTATTTCCAAAGTGCTGTAGCGCCCTCCCGTGGCCAGCCAGGGTATGGCACCTCCTCCTCCTTGACGCCCACGGGTCGCGGGTTTCACGACAACGTCTGTGAGTGCGGTGGTCCACCGACCCCTCGCTACTGACTCCCGCAGGGATGGGATGACGGGCAGCCGCGTGCGCCGTGGTTATTCCGGCTGTCGCTTGTAATTACTGGCGAAACATATGTTTGGTTCTTTCGGTAAAGTCACGTAGAAGGGAAATAATAAAATCATAAAAATAAAACAATAAAATACTCACGACGTTTCGGCCACAACGCAAGCAGCCGTCCTCAGGTGAAGAACAGAGCTGTCGGAAAGACAAACCTTACTAGTTGGCTGTGTCGGGTGGTGGCGGGTTTAACGACACATGCATATGATTACGCGATTTAACCCAAAACACTGGGGAACGACGGTGGCTATGAGATGTTAATTACCTCGCCTGGTACACATGAGGTCGTGGGTTTGATCCAGACTCTGACGATGCCTGCTGTATATTTGGAGTTTGCGTGTCTCTCTCTCCGTAGTCGCGTGGATTTTTCTCCGGGTCTTCCATTTTTTCACCTCCACATTTAGAATCAACATCACCACGCGTCTTAGAGTTATTTGGCCGCTTGTACATTCCCACGTGATAAGCCACTTCGTCGAGTTATCATTTGATAGCCAGGTCGCTTTTGAAAAGAGATTGTGAGAAAAACACACCGCTTGAATATGTTTATTCGCTAATTTTTGCAATACAAAAAAAATCTCTAAAAGTTAATCTCCGGTGTTCATTTTTCTCTCACCTTGTGAACAAAAAAAAAACGATTTACATAACTCTGCATCTTTCTACATACACTGCGCCTATCCTTTGCTATGTAAATATATTTATTCAAGAAGATATCGTGGATTAAAACTTTCGTGACTGCAGGAATTCATATGCTCGGAAACAGCAGCATCACCCATCAGCCACGAAGTAGCGGTGACGTCCCCAAGGCACTTGTGCCAGACTAGGTGCACCTTGAGGCCCCGTGAGTGTCGTGTAAGGCTCTGGCTGCTGGAAGGAGGTCACGGGGCAGACCCAGTAGGTGCCATGGGTTGCTGACTGAGATGACTGGCCGATGCACCGCCTGTGCTCCCCGCACTGTGCCAACTCGCTGCGTTTTAACCGCCCGGCGCCTCCGCTCGTTGTTGTGAGCTTCGCTCCTCTGCCCAGTAGCCTGAAGGTGCACCTAGCCTGGCACTGCCAAGTAGCGTCCTTCACGAGCCTCCTCCTCCACAGAGGCCGATGTTAGGACGGCTGCTGTGCGTGCTATATATATAGATAAAGATC